ATTGGTGCCGGTGGTGCCCTTGCCGCCTTGATGAAGGACGCCATTAAGCCAAACTTGATGCAGAGTTTGGAAGGTACTCCTGTGATGGTGCACGCTGGTCCCTTTGCCAACATCAGTATTGGCGCCAGCTCTGCCATCGCCGATAAGCTTGCCCTGAAGCTTGCTGGTACTGAGCCTGATGAGGATCATGAAGCTAAGACTGGTTTCGTGGTCACTGAGGCTGGCTTTGACTTCACAATGGGTGGTGAGCGCTTCTTTAACATTAAGTGCCGCTCCTCAGGTCTGGTTCCGGACACTGTCGTTATTGTGGCTACTGTCCGTGCGCTGAAGGTTCACGGCGGCGGTCCCGAGATCAAGCCCGGTGCCCCTCTCCAGGAAGTCTACCGCACTGAGAATGTGGATGTTCTCCGCAAGGGTTGTGTTAACCTGCGGAAGCACATTGCCAACGCCAAGCAGTATGGCGTCCCGGTGGTGGTCGCGATCAATAAGTTCGAGACTGATACTGAGGCTGAAATTGCTGTCATCAAGGAGGAGGCGATCGCTGCTGGTGCCGAGGATGCTGTCCCTGCCAACCACTGGGCTGAGGGTGGAGCCGGTGCCGTTGATCTGGCCAAGGCTGTCATGACCTCTAGCTCCAAGGAGAAGAACTTCCAGCTTCTCTACGGACTTGATGGTACTATCCAGGAGCGCATCGAGCGCATCGGCAAGGCCATGTATGGTGCTGAGAAGGTCGAGTTCAGTGAATTGGCTCAGAAGAAGGTCGACACCTACACTAAGCAAGGATTCTCTAACCTGCCGATCTGTATCGCCAAGACTCAGTACTCACTCAGTCACGACCCAGCCCTCAAGGGTGCCCCCACCGGCTTCACTGTGCCGATTCGTGACGTTAGATTGGCTGTGGGCGCTGGATACCTGTAAGTTCTTGTTCCCGCATTTTGTGGGAATTGGTCACGCTAATAACATAACTATAGCTACGCTCTGGCTGCCGACATCCAGACCATTCCCGGACTTCCTACTGCCCCCGGCTACCTCAATGTGGACATTGACACCGAGACTGGCGATATTGACGGATTGTTCTAGAGTAAGATATATATAAGGAGATATTTGGAGCTTGCATATACCACTGTTCAGAATTTCGATTCTTCAACATATACGATAATTGGCGTCTGATTGGGCCCTTAGATGGAGATTTTTCAACACTGCGCAATCCGGGGCAATTGGACACATAAAATTCATTTTGACATGTTATTTCATCATAATCAATCTATTTCCATCTCCATATTAAATCGTACAATTCGGTTGGAGCTTTTCCGGGGTCAAAAAGGGAGGGCCGGTCAAGGCCGGAGTTGAGCTCCGTTCTCCGGGAACCGCTCTATCACCTCGCATAGGCTTCCTCAGCGGGTCGGTTGATGGAGCTTGAAGTAGAATTTTACCTGAGAAAGGATTAGATCGATGAGTCAGTAGACCTTGAATAGAAAGATTTAAAGAAACAGGGAAATCCACGTGAAATTGCCCTTCAAAACATTCCAAACCGTTCAAGATCTTCAAATATCTCGTGACTGTCCGGCTTCGGCGCTTCTTTTTGCGGAGTTGTTCATAAGATCCCCAACCTCCATTACACCGGACAAGGCTTTTTCCTCCTCTACCCTTCTTTTAACACTCTTCCAGTCTCTTTACCGGTAATTATCCCCTTTCTTGATTGCCTAACTCAACTTATTCCGATCAATTCCCGTATTGCCCCGGTTCCTTTACCCCCAAGCCCCGGAAATCGCATCTTTCTACCCTTTCTCCGGGAAATTTCCCGACTCCACACTTTCCTTTCTGCCGAACCCTCACATCCTCGGCTGTAATCAGCGAGTGAGGCGACTTACATCCCGCTCAGCCAAACAAAAACTGTGAAATTGGCGCTGACGTCCTTCAGGATTCCACGATGAACGCTCTCCGGTCTAGTTCCGCACTCGCTCGTCGGTCCCTGGCGACCCCTCCTGCCCCTCTCGCTTCTACTTCTCGTCTTATTTCTTCCTCTTCTTTTACTTCTTCTTCCAAGAGATCTATCTCCTCTACCTCCCTCTCTCAACGAACTACTCGAGTTGCTGCTTCTTCCCGCTGGTCCGGATCGATCCCCTCGTCTTTCACTCAAACCCGCACTATGGCTTCCGAAACCAAGATCAAGGTCAAGACCCCTTTGGTCGAATTGGATGGTGATGAGGTATGGGACAACTCCTCCTTTTATAGTTCAAAACTTTCAATCAGCCTGTTTCACAAGCCCGCATATCCTCGTGCTCGGCGGTGCGTTTTCGTCGAAAACGCGGGGAAACACGGGGAATACTACGATAATTCATGTGTCAATCGGACGATGACGCCGCCCAAGGCTTTTGAAACTCATTATTGACATGTGCTAATCGAATAATCTTTGTGAACATAGATGACTCGTATTATTTGGCAAGAAATCAGAGAAAAGGTAAGCTCATCGGCCCCTCCTAGACCGGGCTAGACCTGCATGATCGCCGCTATTGCAGGTGCATGCAGTTGATGCATCATAATACATCCCGACCCAGTTTCATGATTGATACTAATTGGCTGCCTGTAGTTGATTCTGCCTTATCTCGATGTCGATCTCAAGTACTACGATTTGGGTATTGAGTACCGTGATGAGACCAATGACCAGGTTACTATTGATGCCGCCGAGGCTATTAAGAAGTACGGTGTTGGTGTCAAGTGTGCCACCATCACCCCCGATGAGGCCCGTGTTAAGGAGTTCAACCTGAAGAAGAGTAAGCTCAATAAGCTCATCGACGGAAATCCGTTTTGTGTAGTACTAAAAAGCTAATTATTTTTCTAGTGTGGCTCTCCCCCAACGGCACTATCCGCAACATCCTGTGAGTAAACTCAACCCGATTGGCTTTGACCGTCCACTAACGATCTTCCTAGTGGCGGTACTGTGTTCCGTGAGCCCATTGTCATTCCCCGCATTCCCCGGCTGGTCCCTGGCTGGACCAAGCCTATTGTTATTGGCCGTCACGCCTTCGGTGACCAGTACCGTGCCCAGGACCGTGTCATCCCTGGCCCCGGTAAGCTCGAGTTGGTCTACACCCCCACCGGTGGTGAGCCAGAGCGCATCCAGGTCTACGATTTCCAGGGTGGTGGTATCACCCAGTGCCAGTACAACACCGATGAGTCCATCGCTGGCTTCGCCCACTCTTCCTTCAAGATGGCCCTCATGAAGGGTCTTCCCCTCTACATGAGCACCAAGAACACTATCCTCAAGAAGTACGATGGCCGCTTCAAGGACATCTTCGAGGAGATCTTCCAGAAGGAGTACAAGAAGGACTTCGATGCTAAGGGCATCTGGTACGAGCACCGTCTCATTGACGACATGGTCGCTCAGATGATCAAGTCCGAGGGTGGCTTCGTCATGGCTCTTAAGAGTGAGTTTCCTGTCCATCTCATGTTGGTTTATTTCTTATCTAACATGCATTTTCAGACTACGACGGTGATGTCCAGTCCGATATCGTCGCCCAGGGCTTCGGCTCTCTCGGTCTGATGACCTCCGCTCTCGCCACCCCTAACGGCGACGCCTTCGAGTCCGAGGCAGCCCACGGAACCGTGACCCGTCACTACCGCGAGCACCAGAAGGGCAAGGAGACCTCCACCAACCCTATCGCCTCCATCTTCGCCTGGACCCGTGGTCTCGTTCAGCGTGGTGTCCTCGATAACACCCCCGAGGTTGTCTCCTTCGCTGAGGAGCTCGAGCGTGCCTGTGTTGACGTTGTCAACGAGGAGGCTATCATGACTAAGGATCTGGCTCTCGCCTGTGGCCGCAAGGACCGCGAAGCTTGGGTCACCACTGGCGAGTACATGGCTGCCGTTGAGCGGAGGCTGAAGGCCAACCTCAAGGCTCGCCTTTAGATTGTTTTCCCATTTGCTGCAAAATTTGATGAGATACTCCTGTTTTAGAATCCCTAGCGGAAAGGCATTGGCCTAATTTTAATTGGTCATTTTTGTACAGTTTGCAATTGAACTGTCATTCTGTATACTTCTCTCCATGAGTAGATCGTAGATTACTAGTTTCCGAAACAGCATCATGTCAATTTTAGGTTCTATTTCACGTGGAACGACGGTCTCGACCTCACTTCCACAGGGGTATCGAGTTCTTCTTTGTCGATTGCGGGGGACATAATGCATAACCACGCCTAGATCTGAGTATCGAACATTTAATTTGCACCTACGATAAAATTTACGATAGAATGAAGAACGTCAGTGACGCCGTAATCAGCCTCAAAAGTTAGAAAACCACGCCATCAAAGTTACTAGCCGAAACAGCTCTCAATAAGGAAATGATAGTTTCACCCTGGGAGTCGAAACATGAACCCCGAACATTAAGCGGCAAAGCACCCATACAGAAGGTGTCCCAAGTAAGAACCAAACAAGGATCATTAACTTAATAACATGATATCTCACCTCATGCCCTGGTTACTTCAAGGTTTCTCCAGAGTTACGGGGGGGGAGGTCGGTACCGAACAAGTAAAAATCTCCAACCAATTAGGAAGCGGTGGACTCCACAACTTTATTTGGACAGCCAATCACGTCCTCCTGATCCAAGTAGCCAATCGATCCAGATCGAGGTCTTGACGCAAGTGGTTATCTGCATTTCCTAATGCGGCCATTTTCTCTTGTTCATGGTTGTACCAACCATAATGGAGGGAATATTGATTGGAAGACAGGGGCTTGGATGTAAAATTCTTGATTCTGACGCAGGGTAGGGTTTTGGTCTCAAACGTGTGGGGGTTAAGACAGGCATTCCTTTCTCTCTCTTATTTTACTTTTTACTTTGACATTGAACTTTTTTACTTGCAATACTCCAATCCTACCTACTAAATAATCAGTCATAGTGTGATGGCAGGTATTGTTCCATTGCACTCCGTTCATACAATGCCACACGTCTACGGCTTTCCACTAAGACTTTCTTGATATCTTCGATTGTTTCTCGTGCCGCGTGGATGTACGTTGTGATCCTCACGTCAGTCTTTACGGGGCTGGCGGCTTTGAGTGTCCTCCTCCGACTGTACACTCGGTTCTACCTCGTGAAGGCTCCTGGGCTAGATGATTTGATCATACTCGTTGCATTGGTATGTACTTCTATCTGCTATGTATACCATAAGGACATGCGTCTTTCAGATGAGGTATGTGGGGGGTGAACACCAAGTGCTAATTATCTATCCCAGCTCGTGGACCTGGCATTATTTGCCTTTATAGTTCTTGGTTAGTGGTCTATACCAGCAATGTCTTATTGGTATACCTTTCAATCTAACAAGCTCCCCCACAGAACACGAAAATGGCCTCGGCATTCGTCTGGCAAAACTTTCCGAAGATGAAGTCCAGCGACAACTATTTGTACGAAAAAGGTCCCTTCCGCTATCGAATCAAATGGAACAAGTCACTAATGAAAACTAATAACAGTGGTTATGGCTTTCGGTTCCTTTCTACAACATGACCATGGTCCTAGCCAAGTTCTCTGCATTGACCCTATACGCCCGACTCTTCCATCCCCGTCCCTTCCTCTTGGTTACCTACATCTTTATGGGCTTCTTTGTCATCGTAGGTCTATGGACGACCCTGAGTGGCTTTTTCTTCTGCATTCCTATACACGCCTTCTGGAGTCCATCTCCAGAGATCCGCCTGACAAAGTGTCTACCCGCCGCCCCTGTCTGGTTCACCAATGCGGCACTCCAGACATTTACCGATCTGGTGATATTGATATTGCCCCTGCCACTATTATGGAAGTTACAGCTACCAAGACGACAAAAGTGGGGGATACTTGTGGTTTTCGGTCTTGGAATCCTGTAAGTCAAAGTGAATCGTGCGTGGTTGATATTGGGAACTAAGCTGACCGTTCTTATAGTATTGTTGCCACTAGTGCCGCTCGCATGTATCCATTGAGCGTCATGGTTAACGGAGGAGACTTTACCCGTAAGCACATGCCTTTTTTTACCCCCTGCTGTATACACAAAGAAAACGTTAAAACCAAAAACTAACACACCAGCAGATGCAAATGCCCAAGCAGCCCTCTGGTCCGCCCTCGAAGCCAACGTTTCCATCATCTGCATCTGCCTGCCACCTCTCCACCCAATCTTCTCTCGAATCTTCTCCTTCTGCTTCCTTCCTCGACCGGTACACTCACGAGCATCAAGGGTTCACTCTAATAGAACCCAGGCAACCGAGCCTCTCCGCCGGGATGGCGGGATTTGGTGCAACGAAATCTTCAGTCCCGGACCAGCGAGTTACTCTGCTAGTATTTCCAAGGTCGATACGAATGAACAAGCGAGTGAAGATGGGATTCGTGTTAAAAGGGAGTTGAGGATGCAGTCTGATACTATTAATACTCCTGTTTTCCGGCCTCATTCTGCGAATGGTGCCCACATAGATGTGGAGATGGAAGGGGCTCTGAGAAGTACTACTGCACCTGAGAGTCACAGTGTTGAGAGGGATTTCGGGGATTTCGAGTTTCCGGACTATAAGGAGAGAATGAATGCTCCAATTTGAAATGTTCGGGAGCTTGGATTGTATATATTGAGCAACATCAAAGGCCTGTGGTGTCATTGAATATAGCGTTACATATAGTGACGATATGAATAACGATGTTAATCTTTTGGATCATGGTTTAGTGCTCATAGAATATTTAGAAAGCATAATATGTGGTATAGTGGTGACCTACGTGTCAACGTTAACAGTAATATTATGTAGTACAGGTGAGAAATAAATAAGTATGAAGGTATATACCAAAGGTTATACATAGAAAGCCCATTCCACAAGTCAAGTCTTTCTCCGCCTTCTTCTGTCGTCTATGCATGAAACTGAACAAGGCGGGCAAAATATCTACAAACAAGGCCATTTAAAAAAACTCCCAAAAGGACATCACAAGGCCTCATAAGTGGCCGACTATTCATGTGATGTCGAATCAAAGATTTGCCCGCGAGGTAATCTTCCTCTGCATAGCCAGTTCAATCGCCTTGGCCACAGCAACACACTTCTCCTCACCAAAGCGGCCTCCAACAACCTGTATCCCGACAGGCATACCCTCAACGAGGTTGATATCATCTAAACACGAATTAGTATCACCCGGAAAGTAGACTCCAATATTGGATGTACTCACACTGCAGCTTATTAAACCTATCACTATCATTCCTCGGAACATGGGCCAGCCACTCTTCATCCGGAACATCCTTCGTCCTCGAGGCAGTAGTCACAGGCACCGCCAACGCGGCATATCCAAGGAAATTCCAGATACTCGTGTAGCCCACATATGCACTAGACTTCACCCACGTCCACGGTTTGTAACCCACCCACGAAGTATTGGGCATGATCAATGCGTCGATATCGGAGGATATCCATCTATCGAGATATGCTGATTCGAAATTGTATTTGTCCGCATTGAGCTGCGATATATGTTAGTAGGCATAACTACGGTATCAAAAGGAGAGTTCCCTCACTTGGTGAGTCTGGCTTGTGGTCAAAGTATCCTCTGGTTTACCAACGAGCATACCCTCAACAAGCGGCTCGCCAGTCTTTTCGATTTGTCTTCGGCAGCCTTCGCCGCCATCAGAGAAGATAGCCTTTGCCCAGAGGTCATATGCATAACTATGAGAGGAAGCATCCCACTCAAACACTAAGACTTGTCAGTAGACGGTCCAGAGTAGCAACTAGGGTGTCTTTCAGGCATCATACCCTCATGTCCTGCCGCTTTCAGCGCTTCAACAACTTCACGCATGGCCCTCGCAATCGGCGGCTGAACCTTGACAACACCATCATCAACCAAAAACCCAATTCTCAACCTCTTCGCACCAGGGGAAGCCAACTCCTTCCTCCATGGCACAGGTGCAACATGCTGATCAACTTCCCACGGCCTGGATTCTGGCAAAACCTCCATATACCTCTCGATAGTTGTAAGACTGCAGGCCATAGGCCCAGCAACGGATCTCACAATATCCTGCCCGGGACTATAAATGATTCAAATAAGCACTCTCCTCTTATTCACCAACAAATCAAACACATAAAAGAAAAGCAAAGAAACTTACTTTCCCCGTTCATACGGATGTCTCCCCGGACTAGGCGATAATCCATAAAGTCCACACAGCGCAGCAGGAATACGAATCGAGCCGCCTAGATCCGTGCCAATACCAAGCACGCTTCCGCGCGCCGCAATAAGCGATCCCTCGCCGCCGGAACTCCCACCGGAAATCAACTCGCGGTTGAAGGGGTTGACGCATTGACCGAAGACGTGGTTGTATGAGTCGGACATCATCATTGATTGTGGTAGATTAGTCTTCACGTAGAGGACGGCGCCGAGACGGCGGAGTGTGCGTGCTACGGATTTGTCTGCTTTTGCTGGGTTATTGGTGAGACCGACCCAGCCTGGATTTTTGAATTGTTGTTAGTATGCAAGTACACATACATGGAGATATGGCTGATTTTTTTTATGGCGATAGGAAGAGTGGAAATAATTTACCGATTGAAGTGTCTACTCCTTCAACGGAGAAAAGGTCTTTGATAGATACGGGTAATCCGTGTAGAGGGCCGATAGTCTTCCCTGTCTTGGCGAGGTAGTCGTCTAATTCCTGGGCGACGGCAAAGGCTTCCTCGAAGAAGATCTCTGTACAGCATGTTGTGAGTTGGTGGGCGAGGGCGGCGCGCTTAGCGAAGACTCGAGTCAGCTTTAGAGATGAGAGTTCTCCGGATGAAAGCTTGCGGAGAAGGACGGCGATATCAGTCTCTTCTGTCAGAGCCAGTTCCTCTGGACTAAGGAGGCGACGAAGGTATGCCAGAGCATTTGGGGCGGATTCTATGGAGGGAACGGGGTCTAAGCGCCATTCGGGGAGGATGAGGGAGAGCTGGTCCGCGCGCTTTTGGGCGCACCGGTCTTGGTACGAAGTAGCCATGAGGACTTCCTATATTTATGATCGAACTATAAAACCTACTATGGTAGGAAGTCGGGTTATACCAGAAGCTTTATATATGTCCAAGACGTACTAAGTTGTATGGAGATAAGAAGTGGGATGCCTTTCCGGATTAGGAAGGCAATCTAATCGACGCTAAACCCCACACCGCATATCCTCCACCTCCTCTCGCATTGCGCCTCGGCGTCCGGATAACGAGGGAATTCACACGACTGGCAATTACGCCAGTACCCTCGGATTATCTCGCACTGTCGTGCTGTCGAGGCACTCATCCCTGTCAGGTATGCGGGGGTAGCCAGGTGCACATAGAACCTGGATGTAGTAGGGATTTCCGCGATAGCCTGACAAGCTCGATCCACCATTGAGGAGACTACATTTAAATGATATGTTGATGCAGAGGGATCGCCGCCCGTTGTCATTCCCGCACGACTGAACGCCATGATTGCCGCGGCTCCTCTATACACGGTCGCAGCAAGATTGCGGTCCGTCGAGTCGCTCGCATTCAGTTGTAAAATTTGCGCCATTGCTCGAGAACTCAGGTCCATAGTGCTGATTCCATCGCCGTCGCTGTGTTTCGCAAGATAAACAAGCAGATCGAACGTATCTGGTGGACATCCGACCGAGTCGAAGAATCCAGTAGATAAGGTCTCGCGATGCCAGTCTTCAAAAATTAATGGGCTTTCCCTGACAAGGGCCCCTGTGACATCAAACCACACTAGATAGGCGAGGACATCAGCTAGACCGGAAATTTCGTCGCAGAGGTTGTCGAGATCGGCCTTGTGTTGGCAGTGGAGATCTAGCAGCGAACGTGCGCCTTGGAGATGGCAATGCCAATTACCAAAGGATCCGCAGCATACTTCAAACATGGCGAAAGTGGCGATGCCAAAAAGCGCAATTGGGTGTGCGGATTGGATCACTTGGCTCAGGTTTGTCAAGGCCACTAGATGCGACTGGAGGGATTCTTTGTTGTTTGCATCTTGGATGCGCGAACGGGCAAAGCTTAGCGTGCGTGAAATCAGTTGGATTCCTTCTTCTGGGATGTCACGACTGCTGGATTGAATTTGTTGGCAGAAAGTGTCCAGGAGGTCGACAAAGCCATATAGATTGATAGATGCTGACTTGGCGGTAACTTCAATGTGTGATTCTTCATTGGGAAGCTGTGGTAAAGTGCGTTTTGGTGATTTTGACTTCTTATTATCTTCTACCCATACAACTCGCTGGGGATAGTTGCATGCTTCTCCACCCTGGAGACAGGCTTGACATCGGGGCCGGTTCAGGTCACATTTGACCCCTCGGACTTTGCAGCGACCACAGTCTCGGTCATGCCGAATGCCACGGGGCTTTTTCACTTTCATGGTGTGTGAAGTTGCCTGGCTTGGAAGGCTATCAACCAGCTCTGGAGTATAGTGCGGGGGTTGCGGACACTTCCCCGATTGGGCTCAGGTGGAGCTCTCCTATCTTGATCCTTCCGGGCCTTTTCTTTCTTATCTTGTTTTCATGCCTCCTTTGATACCCGAATGTAAAAATGAGTCAGCGTTTATCTAGTAGTAAATTTGGAAAGGCGAACTAATTGTGTTCAATTCTGGCTGGGTTCGGCAAGTGAAGTACATGCGCTGGAAAGGAAAGCGAGAGACAACAGCACCAGGCAGGCAGTTGATAACAAAATAAGCAGCAAACGAAAGACAAATTCATTAACTGAAAGCCAGTTAGAAATAACAAGACCGAACGAGAGACAATGACACAGGTATTCCGTTGAAAACAGATCAACGAAGGGGAAGCGAGACGGAAAGTCATCCACTAGCTAACTGAAAAAAGAAATCCGACCAAAGGAAAACCAAGCCGAAACAAGAATATCAAAAAAGAACGTGAAGAGAAACGAGAGACATATCCATGAGGCGCTAGCTGAGAAAAACGAAGAAAAGGCAAGCTCACCGAAAGCGAGAAGGGAAAGACAAAAAGCGTAGCCAGACCCAGCAAAAGCCAAATGGAAACAATGACATCTATCTATAAAACAAAACCCAGTCAAGAAAAAATTGTGTGAATAAGATCAACAATCAAGACAGTGATACAGCCTCGTGTCTTGTACAGACTACTTTTGATCATAACTCAGTGCTTGCACATTTCCGGGCTCCAATTGGGAATCCGCATCATGTTTCGATAGGGTTGCTTGCCACGATCAGATTGCTTTCTGCGTTGCATCATGCGCTCACGTCGATCGCGTCTCTTGGTAGCCGAATTCGGTTGCTCTGGCTTCAGCTGTAGCGCCTCCATTGAGATCGCTGACTGTCGTGCTCTGTGGGCCTTCCTTTCTTCAGCGCGTCGACGACGCAGTATAACCTTTCGATGATGCTTTGACATAACACGGATGGAGGAAATCTTAGAAACCTTAGAATTCTTCGAAACTTTGGAAATCTGAGAAACCTTTGAAACCTTTGAGCCTGAGACCTGAGACAGACTATTTGCTTCTGCAACAATGATGCTTGCATGCAAACTGCTACCGCGAGAGACCCTTCTTCTTCTCATCCTCTTCATTTGCTCGATAGCAGCAACCGTGAGAGATCGAGTGGACGCAACGCTGCCACTTTGCATGGATACAATGCTTTCGTTTTGCAGTGATGCAACACGCTGAGGCTTGGCAAACGGTCCAGCATCATGTGCATGTGGATATGGGGAGTCAGCCCTGCGAGCGTTCCCCGAGTTGGCCACAGAAAGAGGGGGGCTGCCCATGCCGACTGCACCAAAGATTTGAGGAGAAATCGAGTTCTCGATGCTCATACGTCGTTTCAGCCCAGCGGGGTCTGGAGAAATATCCGGATATGGCGAATTCATGTCGACCACACACATTCCAACAAAAGGGGTCTGGAGCATCGCACTGAAAGGAGGCTGCTCCAAGAAGTGGTTTGGAGGTCCATGATGAAGCACCGTAGGCAAGGAAACAGCATCATTTTGCTGGGAATTTGACGAGGCGTTTTGTTCGTGACAGTCTTTGGCTGAGGCAGCATTACTGGCGGCAACAGAAGATGCTTCTCGTTCTGAGACGCTCTGGTGCAGCGAGTCCACACCGCGAGAGCAGTGATGACAGATAACGTCATATTCCCCTTCTCGTTGTAAAAAAGCCATTGAAGCTGGGTACATTCCCATATACACGTCAGGTGCCCAGTTGCAAATTTCTAACCAAGAAGGCAACTCGTCAAGGGGAATCAGAGGCGTCCAAAAGCCTCCGGGGCGCAGGATACAAAACCGGGGCCGTGGCCGGACAAGCAAGTTTGGAGGGGATTGATGAGAGGTTTGGACAAAGACTGGAACTTGGGTAGTATACTGCATGTTGAAGAGACTAGAAGAACGTGGAAATGAGTGTAGTGGAATAATGTGTGTATAAATGAAAGTGTTTTGGATGAAAGAATGTATGCGGACTGGAAGGGAAAGAAAAGGAAAAGAGGTGGTGGGATGATGGGGGTTTGTTCATGGCAGTGACATGTTAGTTCTGAGGAAGGTGCAGCATTACAGGAAGGAACGGACATGGGTCAAATGTAAACAAACTTGGAAACGGAAAGAGCAAAGGAAACCTCGTACTAGTTGATATAAAGTTGGAATTTGTGAGTCCACATGATTTGTAGCACGTCTATTCGAGCGGTGTTAGTCCTCCGATCCGGCAATCTCAGAGCTGTGTAGCTCGATGATTATGTTGTATTTCCCTGACTATTTGACGGAGTCATATACTTATTGGGGTAATTCAAGACATATCTATATCTGTTAGTTTGTAATGGGGATAGCGTCAAATCCCACATATTCTTCTAATACTGGAACACTTAACTCAGAATCACCATTGTGATAACCTTATAGAGTCATTCGCTGGTCAAATTGACTCAAGAAATACCAGAGTTATTTCCTCATTTGCACTTCCAAGCTTCATACATCTTATCGCATCTTATCGCATACATCTTATCAGCCTTTCAGAGCTTATCGGCCCGGATGCAAACGACATCCGAGCTACTGCTGCTCTGGGAACTAGTGTTGTACAGAGCTTCTCTTCTGACTCTTACCTACTTGCCTTCTTCCCCTCCTCAAATCCCATCTTCTTCAATTCTGAACTATCACCACCAACCCTCTAATCCACCATGACAACCCTTCCAGACCCAACCAACGCCACTCGCGCAACCCCCAACATCCCCATCGAGAAAGCAACCCTCCACATCGGCAGCTCAACCTTCATAACTGCTCCGTCCCATGAAGTCTGGGCTGCCCTGACGAACACCTCAACCTGGCCAAGCTGGAACACCTTTGTGCCACGCGTAACCATTCGCTCCCAGCCAACCCCAGACCCATCTCCAACTACCTCCGCACTGGACCCAACACCAGCATCAACATCCACACCAACCTCCCAACCCACAAATACAAACACAACCCTATCCCCAATCCTCCAAAAGGGGACAAAATTCACCTTACACGTTCGTATGGATACAACCTCCACCAAGGCCCAGCCCGCAACAGACGTCCATGCCCTCGTCAGCGAATGCAGAGCGCCGAACGCAGAAACCGGCGAGGTCGGCCGTATTGTTTGGTGCGCTGACCCCGAAGCGTCGGGCTCGTATTCGCCATCACTCTTGAGGGCGGAGCGCGTGCATGAGCTTACGGCTGTTGAGGCTGGGACGGAGGTACGGAATTGGGAGGCGCAGGTTGGGTGGTTGGTTTATGTGGTGCGGTGGATGTATAAGGTTAAGCTGCAAGCGAATTTTGAGATGTGGGTTGCTGATTTGAAGGGATTTGTTGAGGGGGGCAGTAATGCTGGTTCTTCTTGATTAACTCTGGTTGAAACAGTTGCCCCCTGCGAGCTATGATGTCCACTCGTGTTGTAGCCGCTACGGGGTCACACCCTCCGTCACCTTCCAGCTAAAAGGTAGCCAAAAGTGGGTTTCTAATGAATTAAATCTCTTATCACTCTTCAATCGAGATCGGCATAATAGCCGTTTGCTTCTTTAGCCAACTACTCGCTTTCTAATCCAAACGAATATGGGATTCGATCAATTTGATATCCTGCTAGTTACAATTTCTCGCTGTTATGTCTTTGTTACAACTACACCCCGGCTTCAGTTTGGCTTGAAAGCTATCTAATGTCCAGAACTAGAATGGCAATATTTCAATATATTTAGCAATACAACATATCAGCAATAACCGCCGGGCTCAGTTTGAAAATGTGAAACCCATCAGCTCGCAGACGAGGGTAATTCATTGGCCAGATCTTCTAGTACCAAGCCTGGGCACTACTAGCCCTGCAGCGTAGCCGTCGTGAGAACAGGTGAATGCAGCTGAACTGACACTCCAAACCACCCCCAAATTTCCGTCAACGTGAAAAGATTTCTGTAAATGCCTACTTCCACACTATTCTGCGCTTCCAACTCCGGAATTCAAGTTGGCGATAACGGTGGCCATATTACAGTACAACACTATGCACGACCAGGTGAATTTGATACCCAATTATCACGTCCAGATAGAACTAACGCGAGGGCCTTCCAGAGTCACAAGAATCACCACCACTACCTTCATCTACCGTACCGTTCGGCCGTGATCCGGATTTCGTTGAACAAGGTCAACTGCTTGAGCAGACTCATGAGAAATGCTCCATCACAGGGTCGAGAGTCGCTCTTGTCGGCCTCGGTGGGGTCGGGTAAGTAGAGGACTGAAAACGCCAAAGTGGTTGGGAGTAACATTGTTTAGCAAATCACAACTAGCAATCGAATATTCTTACAGAATCAGAGAACGTTCACCTAGCACTTGGGTGTTGTGGGTTCATGCGAGTAATGCCGCCCGGTTTGAAGAAAGCTTTTGGCAAATTGCCGACCGAGCGAAACTCCCAGAACGACAAGATCCCAATTTAAGCATCTTCAAAGTGGTGCATGACTGGCTTGCGGATGCGAAGCAAAAATGGGTCATGATTCTCGACAACGTGGACGATGATCAGTTTCTATATGAACCTTGTACAAGGTCTCGTATGTCTAAGGACGATAGCCAAGGTAGTTCATTAAAGGTACCACTCTTGACATTCATCCCGGAGTGCCCAAATGGATCTGTCATCTGGACGACACGATTCAGGCGTGTAGCTACGAGAGCAGTGAATTTGCGAAACATTTTGTCAGTCGAACCCATGGATACCTCACACGCTGTCACTCTCCTGAGGAAGAAGCTTACCTCAACACCAAATGAGCAAGATATCAAGAAGCTCACCGAAGCGTTGGAGTTTATGCCACTCGCCATTGTTCAGGCCGCCGCATATATTGAGTGCAGGGCACCCCGTTGCTCGGTGTTGGAGTATCTAGAAGAGTTCGAGAAAAATGACCAAAGAATGACAATTCTTCTTGATTATGAAGCAGGACAGAGCCGACGAGACTGGGAAGCAGCTAGTTGTATTTTGGGTACATGGCAAATGTCATTTGACCATATTCAGCACACTAGGCAGTCTGCAGCAAACCTCCTTTCCCTCATGAGCTTTTTCGACCGACAAGGGATCCCAGAGAAATTTATCAAGAACCTATCAGATGATGCCACCGCCCTAAAGGATTTCCTCGAATCTCAAGGAATCTCCGCAGAAATGATCAAAGGAGCATCTGTTGCAACGGAAGTTCGTGAAGTTATTCAATCGCCGGCCCTGGGACCGGAAAACAGCGAAGAAACCGAAAAAAGGACAGAAGGTGATATTTGGGATGAGGAGTTTGAAACAGATATCAGGATGCTGAGGGATTTTTCTTTCATCTCGATCAACCGCGATCCGCAAATTTTTGAGATGAATAGGTTGGTGCAGCTAGCGATGCGGAAGTGGCTGACGGCAAACAGAAAAGAAGAGATATGGAAGACACACTTCATTTGGAATGTTTCCTGTGCCTTCCCGGCGAAGGGGGCCGGTACCTGGGAAAATTGCCAGTCTTTATTTCCACATATCAAGGCGGCAATGTCACAGCGGCCAGCCCTCAACCAAACCCGGATCATTTGGATTCGAGTCCTACAAATGGGTGCATTCTATGCACATTTTACTGGAAATACGCCAGAAATGCTGCGTATCGCCGAGAGAGCCAGCGCGGAAAGCAACAAGTTAATGCCAAGCGATAACAAAGAACGAATTGAAGTTGAAAGAACGTTGGCTAGTGCATATAAATTGGAAGGTCGACTAGACGATGCTGAGACCCTAGAGTTGAAGGTTCTGCAGACCTGTCAAAGCAAATTTGGACAAAACGATCGCATCACGCTTGAGGCAATGGCTTCCCTATCGCAGACATATTGTTATCAGGGCAGATACCACGATGCGCTGGAGCTCCAAACCCAAGGCTTGGAGGCAGTGAAATCTGCATTCGGAGCGGATGCTAGCCTGATTTCTGAATTTTTGTCAACTTTAGCAATCACATACAGATTCCAAGGACGTCTCCAAGATGCCGAAGCTTTATATCTTGAATACCTGGGAAATGCATATCAGCTACTAGGAGAACATGATCCAGATATACTGTCAGTGCGGGTAAATCTTGCAATGACGATGAGTACAGGCCGAGCATGTGAGGCCGAAAAGTTACTGTTGGAAGTGCTTGAGATTTGTAGGAGTACACTGGGAGAAGCCCACCCCCACACGACGGCGTGTATGTTGTGTTTGGCAGCGTTGAAGTCAAACCAAATATGGCTATCCACGTTCGACCAACTACCGTTGTGAGTCCTTTATACTTCCTACCACTGATCGGACACGGATTTTAATCAAGTCTCGTCTCTAGTATGTTGAAATTAGTGAGTTATTTGAACAGGAAACTGTTGCGCGAAGTCGAAACTTTGCAATCAGAGGTGCTTGATATTCTTCGACCACTTGTTGGGGATCGAAACCCGAAGACCCTCCTCGCGATGAGGGATTTGGCAGAGACCCATGTGGCCCAACACCAAGTAGAGAAAGCCGAGGCAATGTACCTGCAAGCGCTGGAAGGTATCATAACCATCTACGGAAACAACCATTCTAAAACAATTATCATGAAGAATGGCCTAGCCAGGTTATACAGGATTCAGGGCAGATATCATGAAGCTGAAGTATTTGGATGTGCAGCATTTGAAAGTGCCAAGCGGGCCCGCGGACAAGATGATACACTGATTAATAATTCTATCATGAACCTACTCCCTACTTTGATGGCGTGCGGCCGATACGAAGATGTTATAGGATCGGTGACGCATTTACTTAATCTTCCCATGCACACCCTTCATGCCGATCCTTCTGTTGCGAAAATCTTAAGGCGAGATCTATTGCTCTGGAGACTCAACCTTCAATTTTTGTATGTGTCGGATTTCGCACATAGGACACTGTTCTCTTTGAATTGCATTTTCGTCGTCATCATTTTGGAATTCTGGCCAAATAGTCTTGGAATTGAGAATCTCAAGTGACAATGCCATCAATCCGCTTGATACTACTCATTGTCGTTGCATGGATATAGTTTTCTTTCGCTACGAACTTACCGTTTTTGTACGTGTTATATGCTGTAAATAACACTAGACTTAGACACTTCACGGGTTTAAAATTAGCTAGAACATTTATCCAAGCCCAACTTCTTGTAGACTTAGCTTGTTCATGTATTCAAGATGGTTTGTATTGGTATAAGGATTGGTGTCGTTTGGTTTCTGCTCGCTACTTTATTCGAGAATCACTGCTTTGTTTAGCACACGCTACTACGATGAGAGATCACTCTTGAATGAAACACCTAAGTCTTCAAATATACGACTGTTCAATATATAACCTTTGATACCCTTATTTCCCACCAGGTATTATTTGATTTGATAAAATATTATGCAAATCCCTCATATCGTACACGTTCCTCCAAACTCCATCTAAACAGGGTATATAGACAATGCAAACAAAACAAACAACCAAAAAGTATTCCAACCAATCCCCTCCAACATCAAGAAGACGCAAGCTCAACCCAATCCGGCGTCGTAATCCGCACCGCCGGATCCTTAACAACAGCCGGTTTAACAATCCGCTCAACAAACCCATTCTTCGGGACCCGACTCCCACTCATCCCAGACCTCGCAAAATCAATAATTTGATGCCCAGCCCGCGCCATCTCCAACCTCAGCCGATGATTCATATTAGGATAAAGCAGCAAATCCCCCGTTGCAGCAGCCAGCAACGTAGCTGCAAGCGAGAAGACATCTGACGCAGGAGTCGGCGCGATCTCAGTTGATGTCAGCGAAGCGAGCATTTCCGGCGCCGTGAAAGGCGGCGTGAACGATGACATCGACGCGCGCGTCGTATCAACCGGCGCATGCGCGTCCACGGGAATATCAACAGTGGCGGAGAAATCCGCGAAAAGAGGCTCGTACGGGAAAGCCAGAGCATCGCTGCAATCATCCGTGTCGATGGGTCGGAGGAGGATGTTGTGTGGTTTGATATCGCCGTGCACGACGCCGGCGACTTGGTGCAGCCAGTTCAGGCCGGTGATTAGCTTGCGCGCGAGTTCTTGGTACGAGGCTGGGCCTTGAACTGGGTCGAACATTGTCGCTGTTACGGGTTGGCGGGTGCGCGCGATCTTGGCTTGGTCTTCGATGTATGTTGCCAGGGAAGTTGGGACGGCGGACATTACTAGTGCGCCTAGTTCGGCGTGGTAGCCGTGGAAGGGGACGATGTATTTCTCGTGGCCTTGGGTGAAGGTGAGGCGGGTTAGGGTTGATGCTTCGGCCTTCAGAACTGGGCGCGCATCTCGGCGCAATGGTGCTTTCACGGCTAGCACTTGCGATCTTGAGGTTGGGGAGCTTGGGGGTGTGCCTGGGAGAGTTGTTTGCGGGCGTGGCAATGAACGCGCTTTGTATACTATGCTCCAGACGCCGCGGCCGAACTCGAAGGAGCGGCTGTTCTCGTCGTGGCAAATCTCGAGGTCATCGGTAAATTGCAGAGTGCTGACATTGTCATTGTAGTTGGATAGTGTTTGCTCTGCCTTTGAGTCTTGGAATGGGCTTAAAGTTGATCTTGGGGGCCGTTCCTTGGCTATGGGAGTCACGGGTGGCGTCAGACTCGATGGGACTTGAGCAGATAATGGTGGGCTTTTGCCCTGGGCTGTCTGAAGGGACAATTGAAATGGGGGGTTGGCCATAGTTTCAGTGGTCAATTTCGACAGAAAGAATTGCGGGCAGATCAGGGTCTATATTCTCCCGGGGGAAGCGCCAAGACTAGTGAAATCGTTCTGATATCAGTAGCGCCACCGGGACAGGTCGAGATAGGCAATTAAGCCTCACCCACGGTTGGATCTATAATGATGACGGGGTGGCGGATGCACGTTTTTATGAGATTGGGCCTGTATAGGATAGACAAAGAATAACTGTTGGGAAACATGGCTAAAAGTAATCAAATAATCAAACAAAAAGCAAAGAAAAAAAAATAAAAAAAAAGTCAATCCGGCCCACTTCCGGTCTCGAACATAACAAAATGGGAGATAGAGATACCCCCAAGACCGTGACAGTAAAATACTACGGTGGCAGTGGAGTGCAAACGGGAAATTAATCGGGAGACTTAGGGTTTCTGCTGACGGTCCACTCGTTCATTTCCCCATTTGTAATTTTAAGATTAGGGTGTTGATTACGGAGTAGTTAATTTACTTACTAGATCAGTTGACCTATCTAACTGAGTTAAAAGTAAATAGGTCAGGCGTAATACGAAGTAAATAGGGGAACTATTACGGAGTACTCCATATACATAGCCAAGTGCATATGCCTACGGGTATACTCCGCATGCGTCTCAACGGCTACAAACCTTGTATATTAATTTATGGGCATGGGTATGTTTATGTTTATGTCTATGTCTATGTTTATTTTTATTCTTAGTTTCATATCTGTATCTGTATATTTATGTTTATGGTTATATTTGTATTGACAATCTCATGACAATCTTTACTCAATGCACTTGATCATATGTAGTCATTGCTACATGACTGAACGCAACATCCAATCCTTCGGCCTCGTGCCCGCATGCAACCAACCACATGCAACCCTACAATACACCCAGTCAGATTCACAATTATGTATTCCCATCCGGGTATTTAAATTATACAATCCCTTTATACAAAATACTAATATACATACTTATACACAGTGCCAATCTGGCCCTATCTCATCTTCGTGTTAATGTCCTCCCCTAGTTGGGCCTGGGTCAGTGTGCCGCCTAGAACTCGGTTGAATGTGATGATAGAGAGCTTCTCCGGAAGCCTCTCGTACTTGATCGCAATGTCCAACAGGGTTTGCGCAGAAAGAGTGCGGACTCGAACACCACTCAAATCATAGTCCACATTTTCCTGGTAGGTGAAAGCCGGGTCCAACGTCGAACCATCCGGCAAGGGCACCGGCCCACAGCCAGGCTTAAGTCGTCTTTCGGCGAAGTTCGCGAGGCTTGGAATATCCCGCACATGATTATTGATAGTGTCCAACGGGAAAATCGTCTCAAGGAGTTCAGCGACCGGCATCGTACCACGGAAGCCCACAAAGGCTAGCAGTGCAAAATACCGGTTGAGAATCGGTTGCACCATTGGGTCCGGTAGGTCATAGACCTTCTTCAGAACGGGCGGGTTGGGATTTGGTTCGAAGTATATGGCTCCGCGCGCGGAGTCGCGAGGATAAATCTCATCCGGGTAGATGTATAGAGGTTCAAATGGTCGTCGGCTATGTACCATAATGCCATCATCGATATCGTTAGAGATTCGAGTCAAGCGGAGATCATCGATTGCATGTTCATGTCTTTCCAACTGCACAAAGTGAATGCTTGACCGCAAAGTGGTAAAATCCGATTTGAGAGATATCATACGATCTTCTAGAGCCTTCAGACTCTCAACACTCTCCTTGGGATCTGCAGCCGCACGTGCAAATGTTCGGCCCACTTCGTCAAGCTCAAGGATTGAGTTTGCAAGTTTTTGGCGGAAGTGAGTCAGTTGATTGTCCCTGACAAGTTGTGTCAATGCTATTGATCGCTTTCGAAGTAATGCTTTGGCTTTAGGGTCTGTGGTCTCGAAGGCCGAATTGAGACCCAGCTGATCTCCTGCCGCGATGTCCGCGAAGAGCTTCTCGTGAATAGGAGTATACACTCGAGGCTCATATGCTAAATCCTTTCTTCCGCGGTGGGCAATTTCGGGCACTAGCTTCACGGGAGGAAGCTCTCTGGTGCGTGGAGTGACAATTTTATTTGCTGCAGCTCTTTCAGCCACATTCTTCCTGTCGTTGTTTATGTGATCCCAGCCTCGCCAAGTATGAGAGCGGTCAAATTCAGCTGCACTTGCAAGCTCTATGTTGTGTAAGCCTATGCTCTCGGCGAATACACCAGTTCGTGTGCGCTCATTAGCGGCCCGCGGTAAGATGACGGGGACTTCGTTAGAGGGCATTGTGGCAAGGACTCGGACGGCCCCGTATAAATTCACATCAGTTTGACTTAAGCAGCTATTCATGAAGTTGAGAAACCAGCGGCTGGGCTTGAAATGATCCATAGCAGAGGTAGCATCAGGCAGATTAGCCAGGATGAGGAGTGTATCATTCTTCGGTATAATGTCAGAGGTATTTCGGTTTCCAGGGCCTTGTTCTGGAAGATGAGTTGCGAAGAAACCGGACCAATCAAATTTCCCATATATATGTTCCTGGACGAGCTTATAACACGGCTTGGTCTCGGCGAGCGGTCCAAGAAGACGGTGAAACTGCAAATTTGGTTCAACAAGCACATGGCGGCGTGGTTGGAGAAGTTCATTCACTTTAGATGACCAAAGACCACACCCAGGCCAAAGGTCTAGAATGTCTACCGGTGGGTTTCGGCGAAGGTAGGGTGATGCGCGCTCGAGAATATTATCTGCAAAATTCAAAGCGCATTAGCATATCTGTACCCATAGCGCATGGGGGCCAAGACTTGAGACGTACCTAGTAAGCCTTCACTAACGTACTGCGGTCGAGCCTGGACTTTGCCGCGTTGTTTCGACACCACTGGGTAAAGCTTCTCCGTCATCGGAAACTTCGCCAGCGGCTTACGTGCGGCGGTTATTTGTCTCATTATTGGAGATCTGGCAAATGCCAAGGTGGATCATAAGTAGGGCATGGATGGAGGGATAGAGAGTATCAATTGAGGGAGATAATGTGAGGGTTGTAGAATTTCCTTTGCTTTTTTTTTTGGCAATTTGTTTAGAAGAGCGGAGAGGAGAGCGGAGAGACCAAGCTGCCCGCTCTCATCCCACCTCTCTCCCCTCACTAGGTTTATCTTCTAAGTCGCCTAGATGCGGCTCCCACAATTGCCGCTGGTGTTTCCAGGTTTCGGAGATTCCTATCATTTCGTTATGCTATTTGAGGCTTGATCTACGGTTAACTTCATCATCTTGGCTTCCTAATCCACGCCTACCCTTGTCTTAGCGTACCTTATCGCCATGGCTTCCAATGCGATGGGGGGCGCCACTGGCGGTACTGCCCCTCAGAGCGTTGAGAATATTACGCGGATAGCACAGAACTACGAGTACAACTCTTCCGTTCCATTACGGTATTGGTTGAGGACTGCCGCGACGCTTTTACGGGAGGTTGGTTATACCTGTTGCCTGCACTTGGATCACGACTACTTCAGACTTGTTAACTTTTCTTAACTTGTTAGGCGCACATATACGAACGCGAAGGACATGATGAGCAAGCTTATCTCATTCTATTCCGACACGCTCAGTTGATCCTGGTGCATCTTTCCAAGCACCCCGATACCAAAAAGAATGAGGAAGATCGCAAGGCTTTGGTCGCAGCAGAGAAAGAGGTTGAGAAAAACCTTAGCAAGCTGGAGATTCTGAGGCCGCGCATCAATAAACGCTATGAGCGTTACACCCAGTTGATGCGGGAACGCGAATCTAGGAAACAGCCCTCGCCAGCCAAAATCGTTGCCGAACCACGAGATCAAATTCCGGATCCCGCTCTCACCGGCGTTGCAGAGCCTTTGGAAGCGGGGGAGAATCGAGATCTCGCCGTGCAGTTAGCTCAATCAGAACTCAACCGCCGAGCCACCATCCGAAGCTCAAAGGGTCTTTCTGGACCATCTGCCGAAGAGCTGGAAGCCCGTCGCGCAGCTGGTGTATGGGGTGACTGGGACTATGCTACGAAAGCTGATCCTCGCGCGGGTGATCGCGACCATGGTCAACGTGTTCAGAACATCAGGTCCAATTTTGATCACACAAATCAACCTTATGGCCAACGTGCCAAAGAGTCCGAGGTTCCTTCGTCAGCTACTTCTACGTATAAGTATCCAACTGTGCCGCGTCAAAAACCCCTGGAGCCCACTGTGACTCCGCCTAAGATTTCCATCCTCGACAAGAACGCCGAACGCCAAGCGCCTCCGATATTGCCTCCAAAGCAGCACCTTGAGCCTACCCGGGCATCTATTGTCGATGATTCTGCAATAGTTATAGCGCCATCGAGGCCGGCGAAGGTATTGCCAGGCCCGGCGCTGCCCGAGAAGATCCAACCTTCTGAAGAAACCACCGCCATGCGTTCCGATCTCAATCCCTCAAGTTACACCTTCAAACCCTCAGCCTATCTCGAAAACGGCACCCCCTTGCGCTCGGTATTTTTACCAGCGAACCTCCGATCCCGTTTCCTATCTTTGGCTGCTCCTAACACCCGCGCCAATCTTGAGACATGTGGTATTTTGTGTGGTACCCTTGTTTCCAACGCCCTCTTCATATCCAAGCTGGTCATACCCGAGCAGACAGCGACATCTGACACCTGCGAAACGGTCAACGAATCTGCTCTTTTCGATTACTGTGACTCCGAGGATTTGATGACGCTCGGCTGGATCCACACACATCCGTCACAGACCTGTTTCATGAGCTCCCGTGACCTACACACGCACTGCGGTTACCAAGTAATGCTCCCCGAGAGCATTGCGATCGTGTGCGCTCCGAGCAAAAACCCGGATTGGGGCGTGTTCCGACTGACTGATCCCCCGGGTCTAAAGACGGTTCTGAACTGCAACCAGACTGGTCTATTCCACCCCCATGCCGAGGAGAATATCTACACTGGGGCCTTGCGACCGGGACATGTCTTCGAAGTCAGTGGTTTAGAATTTGAGACGGTGGATCTTCGTCCGGATGCCTTAAAGAACTAATTGCTTCGCGTTTGAATTGTTCCACACACACTAAGATACCATCATCGTCGCATTGGTCTGGCTTTTTGTTGCGACCATTCATATCAGCCGGTTTTTTCTCTAGAAGGGTCATGGCGTTGCCAATTATGTCAACAGCGTTGAACCTAGGTATCCAATTAAAAGATTCTACTTCTAATCTATATCAAAGAGATGAACACGTAGTTGATAACGCTTGGATCTATAGTAAAGTCATTAACATTTATCATCTCGGGAATATTTGACTATACCCAAATACTATTTAGCAAAGCAATTACTACTTACCTACCTATGTTCATATATATATTTGACCTGAATCCAATACTCCAAGCCAAGAACTTCTCTCGTAATCATGCCACGCCTTACAAGGATGCCCAGGTGTGACAGCTTGGCTCAGTTCCCCACATAGATAGCCGTCATTCCACTCCGCATTTGTAACACTTCATCTACTCTTCAGAGCTCAACACCTTCATCAATTGATTTTCAACTGCTCGCATGTCGTCCGCGTCACAAGAAAACATCCCCTCCGACACCCCCACCTCCTCCACCTCCCCACCGGGATCGACAACCCAGATACCCACCGAAAAACCACCCTACCAATCCGCCGCCTCCTACTTCTCCTACCCAGTCAGCCACGTCGTCTCAGGACTCTACCGCCGCATAACCGACCCAGACATAGCCAAAGAAATGCCCTCCGTCATGCCCTGGTCACGATCCTCCTCCTCATCTGAAGTTTTCACACCGCGCCGAACAGCCTCGCCCTTCCAACCACCACCACTCACACCCCTCAACCTCGAAATCTCCACAGGGATAGACCTCCAACAACGACTCCTGACCCGCGCCCTAGCAGAAGAAATCCGCCTGCTAGTCCCACCCCGCCTCCAACTCGCCGAAACCTGGCGTCTAGCCTACAGCCTCGATCGCGACGGCGCCTCCCTTTCCACCCTCTACGATAACTGCGCCGAGTTCTCGTATCGCAGCCCGCGGGCGGGCTACGTCCTCGTCATCCGCGATTCCTCCCCCTACAGCTCCGTCTTCGGAGCTTACATGACAGACGCCCCACACCCGGACTCGCAGTTCTTCGGCACAGGAGAATGTTTCCTATGGCGCGCAAGCGTGCTCCCGCCACCCGCAAGTTTCCCCATACCAGGCGAAGGGCCACAGTCCGAGGAAGCCCTTGAGCGCGCTGGTCTCCCGCCTCCCCCTTCCGCGGATACAACTACCGCCGGCCGCTGGAGTACCCTCCGGAATGACAAGTCGAAACCTGCGCGGGCGGAATCCCCGGCTCACAATCTCAATATGAATATTAAGACCAATCTAGCTGCTGCGAGTGGTGGAGTCCTGGCGCCTCCGTCGCCTTCTTCGATTCATACCCCTTCACGAAGCGGGGCGAGTACCCCCGAACGTATTCGCTTCAAGGCTTTCCCGTACAGTGGGGTTAATGATTATATGATCTTCTGTGAAACTGGATTTCTCAGTCTAGGAGGCGGGTAAGTGTTTGATGTTGCTGGAAGGATGTTGTTCATGGCTAACATACGTGATAGTGACGGCCACTACGGTCTGTGGCTTGACAGCGGTCTCGAAAAGGGTGTTAGTTCAGCCTGCCAGACCTTTGGAAACGAGCCTCTTTCCGATGAAGGCGTTAAGTTCGATGTCCTTGGAGTGGAGGTGTGGTATGTCGGTTCTTGAACACACCACATATGTACAGCCTGGCATCTTGCACTGGATGTATAAAGCGCCTGCCCCTGTGTCAGGGAGGACATATGTGCTAAGGGGAGATTTATTTCGAAATAGACAGGGCCGACAGGAGCGGACTTTGGCATTCATCGAGATAGAAGACCCAGATATCGAAGGAAAATGGCCCTTGGGTTTACCTAGTTCATCTTAATGGTTTTTTTTAAAATACCCAGACGACGATGTGGTGCTGGCCTCTCTGCATTGTTGATTCTGTTTTGTCATTTGTTTCAATTTACTGTTTCTTTCATGCTCCTGCCTAATGATATATGTCTAGTGGTAGAAAAGTTACAGCGACACAAAACCAATTTAATCGAACAGTACATAGTATTCTTGCTATTGCTACAAGCTAACTTTTTTTTGTCTTTTGTGTCTTTTCACGTTTTTTTGGAGTTTTCAAAAGCAATCCCTCCATAATCACACATCTCGTACTCCGTAGATCGAGTCAACAAGGTCTTCAACTTGTAGATCTCCCACGATTTCCTTCCCTCTCCTTGCCTTCTCCTTTTTTTGGATTTTCTTTCATTTTCAGTGATGTCGACTTCCTGCAATTCTCAAGGCAAATTTGGTGATTTGATTGTTATTTCAGCTCGACCCTCTTGAATTGCACTCGGAATATGTTGCGCTGGTAGCTCTTAAAATGTCTCACGATCAAGCTCATAGTCAGCCAATCGCAGCTCCTATATTTCAGTTAGTTACCATTCGTATCAATCAATATGAGCTTCTTACCTCTGGCGAGAAATTGATGTACTTCTCGTGGAAACAAATTGAGTGGCATCGATTGCGGATGCTGCCAGTATCGCGGGTTTCCTTGTCCTCCCGGTACCAATTCCTATCGAGTAAACATAACAGGTTAGCCTATTCCTCAAACAAGAACAAGGGTTTAGAGAAAGGACAGTATACTTACTGATCGTGGTCTCGGGTGTGTGGTGCAAGGTTTGTAACAGGCCGAGCCTGGCGAGAGCAGAACATGCTAGGTGTAGATGTTTGAGGAACAGGCAGCGTAGCCCCAGACAGTTCAAATGCACCGGGATTTCCAGAATTTTGGCTGGAGTCCATCAAAGGGAAAGATGCAGATGGAGCACTCTCCGTCCTAGCATTGACCATACCGGGATTCAAGCCGAATGGACCACTGGGGCAGACTGTGAGTGAGGTCTGCATGTCGGACACTGGGGTGTACGGCCATGAAAGTTGATACCTGGCCGTGCTGTTCTGGCCCTGAACTCCGGAATCCACGGATAGTAGTCCAAAGGGAATGGTAGATGCACTATTGCATAGAACCCCTTGAGGCATGACAAGCGACTGGAGAGATGAAGACCCATGAGCAGAGCCTGATCCAGGCTGCTTGATTGCTCCAGTAGGTGCCGTGATTTCCTTTGCGATCTTGAATTGTTTCAATGTTAGCAACCCAATTTGCAACTTCGTCAACTCATCGGTGAGCTCGCTCTTCGACCTAGCCACACGACGGTGCAAACCCTCGCAAAGCTCCTCAATCTCGATGTCCTCCATGCTCGTGATTGTCTCAGTGGTGAAGACAGCTTTCAGAGGGGCGAGAAGGCAATTTTCGATCGCAAGAATAGCAATATTGTCTACGAAGACTAGGAGAGCATTCTGTTTCTTGTCAGTATCTTCTACACGGTAATGAGATATGGGCGGACTCACGTTGTAGTGCGATTGGAGCTGGTCAATGATGTCCGAGGCTGCGGTCCAGTTGGTTGAAGATTCCATGTCCTGAGTGGCCGCCTTAAGCTCTTCAATGGTGAATGTAGAAGAAAGTTTCTGTTGGAGGGTTTTAAACAGGTGATCATCACCGGATATTTGCCTCTTCGTAAGGAAGCTTTGACTCAGAGGCAACGGATAACCTCGCTTGTTGGAAGCAGTCAACTCGTCTACCTTCGCCAGTAGATTTGCTTTCATTTTGTTAAGACGGGGGCAAATGAGAGTCGACATGATTGCCAGAGATGTCTCTTGATCCGTAAGATTACCCAGTAGAGCCGACACAAATTCCTGGGTGGTCTCCCATGATTTCATCAAATGGGCTCGAGCAATTTCCTCCCAAGGCTGCGACTGCTCTCGGAACAGGCTACTCACCAGTAGCTGCCTGAAATTTCCTGGAAGTTCAATTTCTCGACCACCGTGCATTTTCTTGAGGACCTCGACTTCAAAGTCTGCGCGGCTCTTGTGTTCAGGCCATCTGATATTTGCGTAAGGGTTGCCAGGGTGTACAAGCCCGGTTATCTGATTGTTGAATCCATGGATGAAACGACGGCACCCGGCAACTTCCATAATATCTGCAAAATCCTTGTTCAATTGGCGAATGATAGAACGAAGACGTCGAGGGTCCAGGGTCTTAGAATTACCATCATCCACTGAGGTAGCAAAGAAGTCGTCTGTGTACATTCCACTCAATGCCTGTTCGGTCAAGCGCTGGAAAGCACTACTGAGATTGACAAGCAATGCTCGCTGTTGCAGAGCAGTCTCTCGAGGTGCGTTGAGCTTGGCCAAACTGGCTTGGTTATCCAGGATGGTTTTTTCGATCTCGGAGATAATATCAGGGAGGCTGCTTTGAATGTGATTGGCGAGAATAGTGCTCAGTCGACGACGGAGGTTGTCAGTTCCTATGTATCGTCTTGCCACGGTTTTCCAGTCTCCTCGCTCGAAAAACTCCTTCTCCTTCTGGTCTCGATCTTCCTCTGGCACATCGCGTGTCTCGTACGATCGGGTGGACACCAGATGCAAGCCCAGTGCCTGTTCAGTTGTTGCTTCTTGAATAGCCTTCAACCATAACTTTTCCTCGTCTGAGGATGCCTCGAGTGTATCGAGATGGGTAAAAATTCCCAAGATTCGCTTTCGGTCCGGGTCATACTTGTCAGCAAAATCGTTGATCTTCTGCGAACAAATGTCGATCTTGGCGGAAACCACAGGGAGGATGATGCTGCGTGCATTGAGCACGTACTTCTCAATGCAGTGACGGCCGAAACTCTTTCGTTCATCTTGATCGTTGATGCCTTCGGTGAAGTAGAGTCTGGGCATATCGATAATGGTCAAGTCAGGTTGATCGGGACCGGAAACCTCGACTTGAAGGATATCTACACAGAAGCCATCATAGGCAAAGGGTCGGATGAATGTGGTGGCTTTCTCGATCAGTGACACCGACTGGTCAGTACTTCCATACACGGTGGGCACGAATATCTTGCTGTTTTGGAGGTCTTCGTCACTTTCGATCCATGGACCATACCGGATGCTCACTTTGAAGCGGGGAGTTGATTCGCGGCGCAATATGATCTCCGTAACGAAACCATTGGAAAAATCATATCTCACTGGGAAGCCCACGCGAGAAATTGCCTCGATAACCGAGCGTTTGGCATTGGATTTGGAACCACAGATAATCATCTGTGGCAGGTCAGCGACCTCACCCACACCGAGAGATCGGAGGGAATCCATCGCATCGAGGAGACGGACTTGGTCTGTCCGTCTCTGAGGAAGAGCCCCACCAGGCGCGGCTGGGGCGGACATGGTGGGATTTAGAAGTAACAGATAGGTGTTACTTAGGAACAAGTATGGAATTGCCTATCTGTGGTGGAAAGAGGAATAAAAGAGGATGGAAGATGGGAAGAAGCAAGACAGGGAAATAGACGGGAAGGGATGTGGAACGTGTTTTGTATTGAAGTAAACGACGACGGCCCTCGGCGACCAAACGTCAACAAAACTACATATCATCGTCACGGCGATGTGATCGATTAGTCGTCATGCGCCGAGGAGCATCCGCCTTTAAACGTTCTCCCCTTCCATAGTATCGTTCACTATGTGGTTGGAACTTGTGGTCGTCATTCTAATCCTCACTCTCTAACTACAAATGACATCAGGCTTACTGTCACCTTCATCTCACATTACCATCATAGATGGCGCTTTGTTGTTATCACTTCATCCTTAGATCTGTAGTTGATGTATCAAAATGGTCAGCATGTGGCCCGGATAATGCATCTGTGAAGAGTCAACACACTGCACATGCCGTAGGGTAAATATTGAACAAAATAGCCCATGGCTGGTCAACGGAATTGACTAGTAATTAGATATAAAAGATAAATAGATATGACACCGCTCAAAATTCCTTGTCACCGGATGAGATCTACGCCCTCAGGACTTTGGATGAAATCACAATCAAATGGAAGGTGTGTCAAGTCTTACTCAGTCCCTTAGACCTTCGTTTGCTTTGAGTTCATTTTCTATCTGGGTATATAGATTGAACTTATGATAAGTTTAGTTTATCAGAGATCATGGGCGATATACGTCTTCTCCTCATGTGGGAGAATCGGATGGTGCTAAACAGCACAGAAAAGCATGTTCTCAAGGGCAGGTGGGTGTACCAGTACGATAGATACCTTTCCCAAATACAGGGGAGAAAGCAGGCATAAGTGTGCTCTAGCTCATAACAAGCTGCATATTTAACGCGGATACCTTAGAAGGGGGAAGTTCCTTATAGTTAAATATGCAGCTTGTTATGTGCCCCAGCGTAAACTTATGTCTGCTTCCTACCCTGTGTTTGAGAAGGGCACTGATGGCGCTGGCACACCCACCTGGGCTTGGGAATGTGAAATGTGAACCTTTAAAGGTACATGACAGTGAAAACTAAATGAGCATCATTTGGCAAACTGCCTAGCAACGTCCAGCTGACTCTGTGGCTGGGTCTACATCCTTAGTATCTTCAACTTCGTTGTCCTTACCTTCACTCCATTGGTCTCTGTCCCTGGATTACTCAACATTTGCTAACGGTTCTTCCTCGGCTTCAATATTGCAGCTCTCGACCGAATTGGAACCTGATATTCCTATTGGAATAATGGACAACAGGTTCTAAATTCGCTCCCTGGTGGCAGTATCGAAGCCGATGATGAACCATTAGCACGAGTAGAAGAAGCCAGGGACAGTATTTGGAGAGCAAAATTGAGAACGACGAAGTTGAGGAGGCTAAGGGTTTTGAACCGATTGCGGAGTCAGCTAGGTGTTGCTTTTATTGATTTCCCTTTAGGTATGGATAATTTGACTAGTACAAGTGGAATAATGTATACTGAAAATTTAAACTAGCAGAATGATGAAATGCAAAATGTCTAGAGATTCTGGAATTTGGAAATACAGAGGGGGTAATATGCTGGATTAGATATGAGACACGTAAATCAGGGGGAAATTGTATCATAGCGGTCAACGGGAATTGTGTCTGGTGTTCTATTATAGGCTACATATCCAGGCCAGTCCAAGTTGTGAAGCCCTAATTAACCTGGGCTGTTTGTACATACATACCAGCCTCCATTTCAACAATTACACAACCTCTACTCACCTAGAATAACCTGGACCCACTCACTTGATACTCACTCTATACTCAATATATAGTTACTCTATTACACATAAACAAAGTTTCCCAGAACTTTCAATATCAAGTCAAAGCCCAAAGCCTAGCCTACCATAGATCTCCTGTCAATATCGCGTATCGACGAAACAAATACTATCTATAATAGGAAAGCCTTCAAGGGGGGGGGGGTGGTTCACGAGAAGCAGATCAGGAAAACGTGCTTTTTATTGATGAAGTTATACCTAGATAGAGAAGCGAAGCTAGAGAAGCAAAGATCTGAGAGAAAACAAATAGTAGGGTCACCTGATTCCAAACAGCAAGGGTTAAAAAGCCTCATATTACAGGTGATTGCTTTACTTGCCGCTCAACGAGCAAGAATACTGGTTGGGCCGAAGTTGGCTATGTGACTGATCGTCTTTTCCCCTAAATTCCTGTCTCTTTTGGTCTCTTCACGGGGGCCATGCCAATGCGAGTGAGATAGTATCACTCGAAGTGACCACACAGTTGCCCCTGAAACTAGACGATGTGGACTTTGGTTGAAAGTTTTCATCAGTTATCATTTGACTGTAACATAATAGGAGCGAATGGCAGCCACCATATTCGGAGAGGTGTGATTGGTTTGCTCCCCAGTGTCTTGACTGGTTTCAATGCGGCTCTCTGACAAATAATTTATTGCCAAGCTTACCTGTACCTACAGATGTAGCTAGGGAGTTCAGCTGGGTTATTACCTTTTATGCGCACCTGTATTGTTTACCTTCTTGACGGTCTTTTCAACTGAAATCTAGCTTCTGGATACAGTTCGTTATACGTGGACCTCGCAATTTTATCAAACTCCTGGGTTATTTAACATATTCCTCTTGACCTCTCGATGGCAGACATTCCAACTACAACGATCTTTTCGCCACCCTTTTCCCTTGTTACAAAACCGCCCCTTCCACTGACGACAACCTTCACGCCGGCGATTGAATGCCTGACTGATTGGTGGGTATTCCAGTCTAGCTGGTCAGGATACACCTCCCGCTGGGCAAATTTAGGTCCTGAAAACACCGGAATATGTCTCCCATCGGGATGGGCCCCGTCGACATGGTATTCGCCCGGGATTGCGTGCCCTAGCGGGTGGGCGATGGCCTCAGGACCTACAACCGTTAATGGAGAGACTACAGGGACCTGCTGCCCTGTGTATCTGTGAGTATTTTATTCTGCAAGAAGGAGGAATCTTTGCTAAAAGGTCTCTTTAATAGGCCAAGTGACTTGACATTTACCCCACGATCTAGTACAAGTGGTGGAGACAGACCGTGGCATAGTTTTGAGGTTTGCGCTTTCGGTGCCACAAGTGACATGAAGTTCATCCGGACGAATACAAACAAAGCCGGGACTACAAGAGCCGAATCTGGTACTGCGGTCGCGGGGAAAGATGGTTGGAATGCATATGGAATCGAGCTTCGTTGGAGAACCACCGACCTCATTTCTGCCCCGGCTACATCTAGAGAACCTACTGCAACACATGCTGTGATACCAACGACGACCCAACAGCCATTGGGGGAGTCCACCAGCTTGTCAACGGGCGCTAAAGCAGGAATAGGAATCGGCGCTGCTATTGGGGGCATATTGGCTATCCTTGGGGTCGTGCTTCTACTTATTGGTAGACGAAAGCACCAAGGAAAAAATGCCGATGAGCTTCGTGAAGATGGACAACATGAACTTGACGCAGACGAGAATCAAATACATGAGCTAGGGTCCAACCATCTCCTTGAGGCGGATGACTCTCAGATGCCATCAACACGATCGCAGGAGCCAGCTGAACTGGACAATGCAAAACGACCGAAATAAGAGAAAAGAAGAAGCTTAGCCAGGAAGGCTCACATCCCACCCAATCAAGCAGCATCATTGTATTATTACAACTTTCTTCAGTTCAGTGGCCGCTCGGTACCACACAAAAAGAGATATTTTGGGGTATTTATTCCGAGGGGTAGCTGTAGTGTTCTTCTATGGCTTCCTTACACTAGAGAGTCGGCGAATAACTCGACTTTACTGGAGGACTGTATCTAAAGGGAGGGAAGTTTGCAGACTGGCTAACTGTGGGATGGGGATGAGACCAGGGTGAGATTTTCGCTCAGGGGGTTGGGTTTAGGGCATACACCTTCTGTTGTGAATTACACTAATACCTTTCGAGTAGCGATGTGTAAATCAATGCGAGAATTTAAGAATACCTCCTTTCTCGACTGAGGAGTGAAATCATATAGTAAGAGGGTAACCTAGACCTCACCCTGTCTATAGTGCCTTCCCATCCCCGGTCGATCCTAAAGAACTCCGTAGTGCTCACTTATATCTCACCTGACACCCACATGACAATGGACATGTCTGAATTTTGTATTCCACAACTAATCACAGCCTATATAGACTTCATCGATGCAAGTTATAAGTACATACGACCATAGGGTGTGGAAAACAGGGCTTCCCGTCCGCTCAGCCGTACTTAAGCCACACGCCGGTGAGTTAGTAGTTGGGTGGGTGACCACCAGCGAATCCTCACTGTTGTATGTTTTTGTTTTTTTAATCTTGTTGTTCTTTAGAAAGTCCCTCTTGCCGCCCTACTCTTCAGCCCTTTCACCTCAGTCACCTGGATGCCCTGAACACCACTATTCTATACCTGCATATCCTGCACGCCCCTGAGCCGCTGACATGTCCTTCCTCTCCCATGCTGACTTTTTCTCAGGCGTATTAATATGGGGCCGAGCATGGAGTAGATCATAGAAGTACCATGTGGCCGGGGTGGTTCAAGCTATGTTTTTTACTATGGCGATACCATAATAAATGACACCTAGGCTGAAAAATGGGTGCTGTAGTCCATATTTAATTAGGTTACCACTGTCCCAGCAGTATCTTACGGAACTTCATTCGGAAGCCTCTGGCTTTTTGATGTTTGTGTGTTAAAAGACAAGACTTCAGCCACTATATGATCGGCGTTGCAACTTCTATTTATGGAAATAGCTATTCATGGTATTCGGACGACATCTCCGATAAGAATTCTGACCTCAGTTCCGGGAGGTTTGGAAGTAATCCGTTGAATTATCAGTAGAACTAACTGTTCCGATTTTTAATAGTGAGAATACAAGCGTTAGGGTTGGGGTGGGCTATAAGATATATTAATTTGAAGATTTGGGTGGGGAGAGCATAGATGGAACTAATGTGTTCGCTGTCGCCGAGGCCTTGTTACACGAAGCGCGTGCGTCGACGAAGTGATGTGGTCGAAGCCTACTATTTAAAGATTGTGGATTATTTATTACAAGGCGTATTTCATTATTTGTATCTTTATTGGTGCTTGTATTGGGTCATTCATTTTTACTTGGGAGACTATTAGGTCTTGGTGAGATCCACTTCTCATATTCTAGGATATGATTTATTATATAACTAACATCGCTATGTTACATAAAGTGATGGGAAGTCGACAAGCGTTGCAAACGAGTCAACTGTTTGCTGTGGTTGATGTTGTGAACATTCAAAGCTCAACTCGCGCCAATAAAACATGCGAAATAACCCTAAGGAATATTTGCAGATAGAACCCCAAGAAAAAGATTAGACAAAATTAGAACAAAACCCCTCTCCATCATTCACATCGTAGAAAACGGGCCTCTAGAAGAAGATACAAAGATAGTACGCTCTTTATTCATGTCCAATGGGGTGCCTAGATCATGCCCGCCATGTTATTGGTCTTTCAAGAACCTCAGCCCTAGAAAATGCATTATAGGTCCCTTATTTGTAGCCGTACGAGCTAAGCTCATGTACAAAAGGATTTGAAGGGTTGGAAGCCGTATCTATCTCTTGCGGTGCCTTGTAGGTGCTTTGTTGGTAAGGAAGACTCTGTCTAGCGATAGACTCTTCCTTTACGGATAATTGCTGCGCTTTCTTTCGGAGGTATACGAACCATCCAATTAGACCCGCAATTATCGCGGTGGCCGCAACAGAGCCGATTACAACTCCTGCAATCCAGCCTTGGCTCTGACTAGATTGCGATCCTGTCACGGTCTGCGAATCACCGGTTTGGGTGGCTGCGGTTGATGCGGCAACTGTGGGTGCAGCCGTTGTTGGGGAATTGTTTGTGGATGAGCCAGTTGTGGATGGTGCGGTGGTAGATAGGACACTTGTGCGGGAAGATGTGGATATAGTGGAAGATTCTGGAGATGCAATCAGTTCATATATTCGCTTTTTGGCTGTTGTATGTGGGCACATACTTGAGCTAGTGGTTGATACTGCTAATTCGCGAAAGACAGTGAAGGCGACCCAATATTCTGCGCAGAAGATATTGCTCGCTGAAGGTGATGCGTATGGCGCTGATTGGAAGATGGTCATGGTACGACATACATTGCTAGGTACGAAAAGAAAGTAATAAGTCAGCCTCTTGCTTTACTTATTGGGATACTATTCCTTCGAAATACTTACCATGAAGACGTTTTACCATCATCATAGGTGATACTATTGCCTGTACAATCTGTGGCGTAGCCGCAAGCACCTTTAGAGCAACCGCGCGCATAGTTCCCCGAGGTAGTCCAAGTCTCGGGGTCTGTTAATGCCTGGGCTGGAAATAAATAAGCTCAGTCCGGTTCTAAACTCTCCGTATATCGATCGTGGGTGCGCACTCACTTGTTGAAGGTCCCATGTACCATCCGATAAAATGAGGGTCACTCTGTATCGAAGCCATAGCATTACTCTGGCCCATAGCACCATGAGATAAAAGCATGATACTCAGTAGCATAAACCATTTCAAAAATGGTGTGGATGAAGTCGACATCGTTGATCTGGAAGATCGTCTCTAAATCCGGAAATCGAATGTCGCGTGGAGTAAAGGGAAAGGGCGGCGGCCATAATTTATTCGGCCTGATACCCTGGATACAACTCACTAAGTTAGGCGCCAGACAACAGCCTCACGTATACGCGAACTTCTGCTTTCTATTTCTGCTGCATAGACTAACACTGCAATGCAATGGCTGCCCTGCCATGCCCGCTCGGGCGAGAAGGGACGCCAATGCAAACGCCCCTGCTTGCTTTTTTTGCCAGTAATACCAATACCAGGCATCGGTATTACCTAACTGCTAGTATGCAACTCACATCTTTTTCTATATTTAATTTATTGTATTCATTTAAAAGAATACTATATTTATTACCCGTGGCGTGCATGCATTAGCGCGAGTTCTCGAGCCATCACGGCAGGGTATACGGAGTAGCGTCAGGCCAATCAGGGGACTACAATAACCGCCACTAAGACCCGGCAAATCAAACGGTGTATTCCGACCACTCAAAGCCACTTAATCGCAGATCCTAATTTATTCTCCTGGAGCAAATTGCGATATGTCTGGGCCAGTAGTGGATTAGGAACGGAGATCCCCGACGGGATTAACTATAATCGTTGAATCTAAGCGCTTAACCTGAAGCCATGATATGATACTCAAAGGTCTCACTTCTGCTCTTTCTTATTTTGTTTGTCTCCATTGTGTCCACCGTCTTTTATACTATATTGAACTTTCATTTACTCACTGTCGTTTTTGTTTTGCGGCTATCTCTTTCGCCTCTGCGCATCTGCCCTGAAAGATCCCCACACCATGTTATCAATCACCAACTTGAACAATTCGCGCGCCTTGCGCCTGGTCGTTCCTATTGTCGTAGTTTTCGCACTCGCGTACACTTTCTATGCGGACTGGAAGCCAGTACAAAAAGTTATTCCCAGCTCGAACCCCTCAGGGGCCATTGTGACCGGCGACGCAAGTTCAGCTCCCCCAACTTTACAAATCCCTGAAGATCCTTCGCCCAGCAAATCCAAATTTCACCACTCAAACGCCAACACTTCAATTTTCAATATTCCGGATAAAGTCTGGCATTCCGCAAAAACAGATGACATATCGGAAAATCAGCGCAAATGGGTGAACAGCTGGTCGAGCACCACTCCCGAATGCCGCCAAGAATTGCTTACCGACCGATCCGGCGAGGCGTTTGTTCGCGCATACTACCAGGAGACGCGGCCAGATATTGTCGAAGTCATTGAAAGCTTATCCATTCCAATTTTACGGGCAGATCTTCTTCGTTATTTGATTGTTCTCGCTGAGGGCGGGTACTGGAGTGATTTAGATGTCACTTTGGAGAAACCACTTTCTGACTGGGTGCCCACGGAGTACAAAGATCAAAATATCGATATGATTGTCGGTTTGGAATTCGATTTTGCTTATCGGGGCCCAGAAGCCGAGGTTGCATCTCAATTTTGCAACTGGGTGTTTGCAGCACAGCCGTCATCTCGCAACCTGCTTGTGATTGTTAACGCTGTCATCAACGAGTTGAAGCAGATTGCAAAGACCAACAATGTGTCTATCTCCGGTATCACATTGGAGATGCTCAAGGATGTGGTGAACGTGACTGGACCTAAGATCATGACGATTGCGATCTTAGAAAGTCTAGGACAATTGCTCAACAGGACGGTGGATGACCGCGACTTCTCAGGAATCAAACATCCGAAGATGGTCGGTGATGTCTTGATCATGCCCGGTGTTTCATTTGCGGCGGCCCAAAACGGATTCCCTGCGGATCAAGGTGATGTACTTGTGACACATCATTACGAGGGCTCGTGGAAGCAGGCAGACGCAGAAGCCAAAGAAAGAAAAAAGCAAAAGGAGCAAGAAGAGCATGAAGCACAGAGTCACCAAAGATGAAACGAAGCACTGTAACAATAATCTGCTGTATAAATTGAACAAATGATGTCTATAATCACGTCTCATGAGGGTACTCGCGGAAAATATGTAACACAGATGTGGGCATTTACAGTCTGTGGGTATTCGGAAAATTATTAACTTCTGACTTTGTGGAACACATTTCAAACAGCAATACTGGAATCACGCGTCACAAGCAAGGAAGGCAGGGATAAGCGCCACTGATAGCATAGATAGAATAGCGGGGCGGAAAGCGATAGAGAATGGCTGGGGATTGTAGGAAGCAGCTAGTCCTTCACTTCTCCAGATAGTCCGCATATCCACTACGTCAATTTAGGTTTAAGAAAAAGCCCTAACTCTGAGTTCGCTGTCTACCATATGCAAGAACCCGCAGTATCTTTCCATTTTCTGTCCTCTACCTATAAATTCTGGGAGTAGCTCCCAAGGCAGATTCACTATAAAGCTCCACAACGGGCTATGTAGATTCTTTTCTCGCCTTTTGGCAGAAATCCACGCAGGGGCCACCACGCTCATACGTACGGATTGTCTTCTCAAATTCTATATTATAGTGTTGGAAAGATATTCGAACCTACTCAACTTTATCTGACAAAGCTTCGCATATTTAGACAAAGCATGGGTCCCCTTACAGCAGTGGAGACAGCACGACAAGCCCAAGAGAATCTTTGTCCTTTGTCTTCATCGATGGTTACCGTTACCATATAAAGTTAGAGAATCTAGAAATCCCGGCAATATAGACGAAAAACTTCGCTGCGAAGCTGCAACAGTTATCTGGATACATAAGAATTGTCCGGAAATACCTATTCCACAACTATAGAAGGTTGGACTTGTTTGTGGCCAAAGTATATAGCAGCTTAATTGATATCGTACTTAATTATATAAAGTCTAACGTGTGGTTTCTGCAGTTTACAAAACCGCAGAATACTCCTTTAGGGCCTAGATTCTTTTAGTCAATCAAAAGATCTATTATATTGCTCTTAGAGACCTAGAATAAACACCTTCATCACTAGGATAAGAGAACGAACCTTTTCAAGGGACTTTCTTGTATAATACTCTTTTTAAGTCGAGTACTACTACCTCGCATAGGAACTTAGACCTTAGACTCGAAAAGTGCTTTGCGGTTTTCTAATTGTCCTCTTACTCTTCCATTCTATCAATTAGAAAACAGGGAGATTCCGACTGACATTAGCCGAAATTTAACTTTTTCGGCAGCCGACGTATACTATCCTGATCTTCTATCTTATCAGGATAGTCGCATACTAAACCAGCTAAACTCTATCAGCTATAAGGATAATAACCGGGCCTAGATAGTAAGATTGACGATAATAAAAGCCCTCCTACCACAGTTCTCTAATAGAGAACCCCGAGAGGGGCATTTTTTTTTACAGGTTTATAGATCTCTATCCTAGTAATATCTTCGTTGATAGCAAATAGAACGTTAAGCTTGTGGTTGATCTAGAATGGGCCTATTCTCTACCAGCGGAAACTTTCCGTCCTCTATACTATTTGACAGGTCGTTCAGTCGATGACCTAACAGGAGAGCATTTCGAAGCCTTCAGGGAAGTATATAAAGAATTCGTGGATATTTTCAAGGAAGAAAAGCATTTTTCTCCTATCAACAGTTTCTATCCTTACAGGCCCACTCTTGTAAGAAATGGCTGGAAAACCGGAAGCTTTTGGTATTTTCATGCTTTGGAGAGCCCGAATGGCTTATTTAACCTCTTCCGTTAACACTTTTATCCCATTTTCGAACCTTCGCGTCTCAATTCTATAACAAGAAATTCATGACGTACCTTGCCTTTTCAGGGTGTATGAGTAGGGCAATCAAATCCTTGGTCTTATGTTCCTGAGCTCCATTAATTTCGATGATCGCCGATAGCGACTGGTAGTTGACAATACGCAAATCTGACTTGCTACTGAAACAAATAATAGCACTCAGTGGCACTCGATCATTTTTCATGAACAATGTATTTTTATTGTCTCTGACCACGGAGTCGATCTTCGAGCATAAGACACAAATGGAGCACCCACTGCTCGTAGGGGCGATGAAACTCACCTAGAGAGGCTTGTATATAGCACAGGACAATATTGTGCTGACCAATCCTTCCCGTTGTGTAACTATTGGCATCTCCGGGTTGCTTGCGATATATTTGGCCCCGTATATCGTAGTGTTTGTTACTCTCAGGTGTCACATGCTCGCCATCCCATAGTTACTGACCATATAGTAAGTATCTTTTCCTGATTTGTACATTAACATTCCTACAATTTACACATTGTACACCATTGTCTATCATCGTAGACATCAACACGTAGTGTTCATCAAATATAGCTTCCACGGCATCAGCTTCCAGGGGAAGGGCGCAGATGACTGCTATCTCAAATTCGTCGCGAGTTCCAGGGAGCATTTTTAGATGGCTTAGCGAGTCGCAAGGTTTGGTAGAGAATCGGCGTTAGCATTAGCAACAGATAAACACGATGACTGATTTAATGTTTGTCCTTCCACGGTCTGCAGAAGGTTCTGTCGTTCGATATGGATGCCGTGGGGGGTTGTCGTAGGAGTACGTTTCATTGGGCGCTGTATATTTTGTCTAGACTGGATTAGTATCTTCTCTACGACAAGTGACTTCTGCGTCGTTTCACACCGGTTGATGTCGCGTATGAACTGTTGAGCGGCGCCTAATTTCGCGCTACGCTTGATGTAGGAACCTGGGTCTTGGTCATAGATCTATATAAGATCGAAACAAGCCTCGAGAGTAACATTGCATACTCTGTTTATGTCATCCTGAAAGTTCCGTCGCTCACTCCTAACCGCTGCCATCCGGGATTTCCCTCGCCCGTAAGCAGCCAATAGCTATGATTCGTTTGGCATTGCTGGATTCAGCTGGCGTAGTTTCACCAGCTGACAGGACAGGTATTGATCATCCAGATTACAGCTAAGTGCAAAGCCAGCTTTACTTTGGAGTTTTCTTTTAATTCCAGGCTCTACTGCCTCCGAACAAAAGCTTTGCGCCGAAGGAAAAATTATTTGACGGGATTTAGGTTAGGTGAGTAAGGTGGCAATTACATTATTAAATTTACACTTCTGTCTAAACACATCTGGTACCGCTGATCGCGATGAAGTTTGGAGACCTAGACTGGCGAAACATCTAGCGGTGACCAACCTGTTCTCCTGAAGTCCACCCGCTTGTCACCCAGATTCGTCGATATACACTAGATGGTACGATCGGAACTCGGACCGGTTGTGTAAGTAGTGATCCCATAGGTCAGGGTTTTGTTCCTTCGCTTCCTATTGAGCGGCGTTCTTGGGCTACTCTTAGCAGCAAGTGCTCTCCTAACGCTAGAGATTGTTACCTGTGCGCCAAACTCACGCAAACGGAAACCCGCCATCTCATCGGGGCAGAGACTAGGCTTTTCCACCAAACGATCGCAGAGAACTTCCAACATCAGTGAGGTAGTACTGCGCGGCCTGCTGCTCGAATAGGAGGGAGCTCTGGTATTGCCGAATCGCCGCAGGTTGCTGCGGATGGTTTTGACAGAACGCGGAGGGCATCCGGCGGCCTCAGCGGTCTCGGATGTTGTTAGTGATCAAGATCATATCGCAGATGAATTCTCGAGTAGCAAGGGGTAGATTTGGTGCCATTTTCCGTCGTGGTTGTTCATCTGTTGGTGGGGCTAAGGTGGTGTAAGTTGCTGCAACTTGAACCGAGGTGGGGTGGTTGAAGAGAGTTCGATACCACTGTGGTTACCCATACATTTTTATACCGACAGCTTTCCGTCAGTTTTCTATTTTGGAGCGATACGATTTGAAGATTATTTCACTAGTTAATGAACTCAATATATAATACTTCATTTTACAAGCATCTTAATTCTACTTTCAATCCTTCTTTTAAACCTCACTACATTCCCCAACCGCCGACGATGCGGCTATATACACTTGATATTTTTCTATTAAGTGAAAATGCTGTTGGCGCGTACTCTGAACTTCGGTTCCATTTCTCTTTCACTTTGGTTTACTTATAGTGAAGAAATGAATGCTAGCATTTTCAACCACCAAACTAGATTTCCAGGGACTCTATTGCTTCATAGTAGTTCTCTAGGCCTCATCTCTCTCATCCATTTTTGTGACCTTCAGTCCGCTTACTGACATGACTTCGGCCCTATTCCACAACTTATCATTGACTAAGTTTAGTCCATATTTCCAAAAGGAACACCACATGCAATGCCTTGGGCCACGTATTCAAAATATTAACTAGCCCTAGAGACCCCTCCACTACCATCTCATGTTAAACTATAGTTTGATCGTAGACACCCTATTCTCGGGTACAAACAAGGATTATGCCAGCTTTGGGCCACTACAAGGGGTTGGTAAACTGCATCAAACGAATCAGAGAACACGTTGAAACTAGAAGATAAAAGTGTATCCCAGATTCTACGGCACGAACGCATTGTTCTACCAATATGGAGGCTCCCTAGTCCCTAAATCTACCATGCACTACGGCTGACGTGCAGATGAATGACTTGGACCTAACCGGCTTCCAACGAATCACCCTTCATAATCTTCACCGATTTATCTAATAATGTTGACCCTCTACACACCATCAGAGATGGCTTTACAGGAGAAAAAATTTGATCAGTGGTCAACCAGGTGCACCGACATTTCGCCCTCGTACGTGTTCATTGGGTGGTGAAGTAGCAATAAAACTGAGCACCTGAACCCTGGGCACAACTTTGGTGAACAATAGCGAACATAAATACTTCGATGGCTCCTGGCATTCCATGCTTTTTTCTAAAGGCTGTTTTTGCTCTTCATTAAGTCTCATCATTACTTTGAAAAGGCTCTGCACCAGCATGTTCAAGCTGGCCCTATCCCCCGAGCAGCCAAAAGCCATGGCTATTCAAACCCACATCAACGAATCTTTGTCTTCTGTCTTCATCGAGCAATACAAGCAGAACGAGTATGCGACTCTGGCGAGAGCAGTTGCCGA